AGATGGTGGTTGTTTCGTGTATCTACAATTGAAAGAATAATTCTTTTAAAAATTTATTTATTTATTTATATTTTATGTGTATGAGTGTTACGCCTGCATGTGTGTAAATGCACCTGTGTCGTGCAATGCCTGCAAAGGCCAGAAGAAGGCTCTGGATCCCCTGAAACTGGAGTTACAGACAGTTGTTAGCTATCCTGTGGGTGCTGGGATTGGAACTGGGTCTTCTGCAAGAACAGCCACTGCTCTTAACCATTGAGCCATCTCTCCAGCCCAAAAGGATAATTCTTAATGCACTTTCTGGATAATTCTTAATGCACTCTATTGCCATTTAATTAGGATTTCTGCCAACATCACAAAAAGAACAAATATGTTATTTACTTGATCAGGGTTCTTTTTAGAATATTGGTGCTGATTCATCCTGATGCTTAAGAGACAAGAAAGAATGTGGCAAATGTAATTACAGCCTAGACTGAAATAAAGTCCAAAGACAAGATAACTATTGTGGCTACAAATGGAAAAGGAAAGAAAATACAAAGAAAAATAATTGATGGAATAAGGACAGGAAGAGTAAGGAACATAGAAACAAGTGGGAAACAGAAAGAGGAATGTTAGTCGTGAAGTAGAAAAGTAAAGAGGGAGGTTTGGAGGGAGGTAGTAGTGACAGGAAACGTGGAGGAGGGGAGAGGAGACTGGCCCAGGAAGAGCTGAAGGTCTCACTGTAGTTACAACAGCTGGGGACCTGGGGAACACAGGTGGGGAACACGGCAGAGGGAATGAGTGTGTGAGCATGCTGAGGTACGTTATGTCATGGATATGTTCACCCTGGCAAAACAAACAATGCTGGTGCTTTTGAGAATGAGAAATCCTTTTGAAATCCCCTAGAGAAAACAGATTCAGGCTGGTGGCTGGGGAGCTCAGAGAGAGGAGCTGAGAAGCAGGAGGGGGAATGGTGGCTGCAACAGTGACCAAAGACTGTCCTACAGCTGTTAGGCAAGAGCCAGTGCCCAAGGCTGACACAGGAGTTAAGAGTCCAAAGCTTTAAGTGATTGATCCTCTGGTACCCAAGGACCAGGCTCTCAACCCTAGTGCACTTGGAATGCCTTCCTTCTCCAAATGCCTCCTTCAGGTGATTCAAAGGAGAATGGGCTGCTGTGGCATTGTGTGGGATGTACCGACAAAGGATTACTGCTAAAACCTATTTGGTAGTCTCAGGTGTCACATGAATATATGAATGAACGTGGAGTTTTAAAAAAATTACTTTCGTTTGCTCACTATTCAGACATTTTCATGAGAGGAACTATGATGGAAGTGAGCAATTACTGAACAGCAGATTGTTCAGATAAGCTGGCCCTTAAGTTTAGAGAGATAAATACCATGTTCCCCTGCAAGCTGTGTCTTCACACACACACGACAGTTATAACCAGAGAGGAGAGTGGAAATTAATCCATATACTGACATTCTGTGTTGCTGGTGGCTCTGAATGGAGCTACTGTTGCGAGTGGAATGTGAGTTAAAAGGAACTATATTTTATTCATTCAATTTGGGCCATTTTGTTGTAATATGGAATGTTGGGGAAGGATGCTACAGGAATGCACATCCATATTTATGAGGCTGGTTCCCCTGGTGTGGAAATGCCAAGCAATTGCATTCCGGCAGCTCTCTCACTGACAGAGTCTAGAATATCTCAGATTTTTTTTTGGAAGCCATTTTTTTTTCTAGAACATGCCTGAAAGAGCAAAGCAGAAGAAAAATAAAGTTGCTGTCTTCTTGAGAAAACTGCAGATATTTCCATGATAAAGGTGAATTCCTTTTAAAAGTAAAAAGCATACTAATGTAAAGACACCTGTTCTAGAAAGTAGCCAAGAGCAAGTGCTTGTCCTTCATGTCCTCAAACGTACGGTCTTGGAGTTCTCAAGTGAAATCCAGTTCAGTGGGAGATACTAGCTTCTAAGGGTTGGAGGCTTCCCTCCTGTGCTAAATAATCTGTGGTAAAATAACCTCGACATTTCCCTGACTGACGAGTGGGACAGTTCTACAAATCACCTGCAGGCACAGAATCTACCCTTGAGTTCCATCAGCAGTTGGTACATACCTCACAGCTTGACCTGATCTTAAATAAACAGGCACCCTTCCTGATCTGCACTTCCAAAGTAAGCTATAAGCAACACCAAGGTCATTGAGGACAACTGTAACCAAATGCAAAGCTTACCCAGCCACCCCATGCAGCAGCAGGTGAACAGTGATTTTGTATGGACCACAGACTTCAAGACCTGGAGGAGCCTTCAGGCTGCCCATCACACGTACACCTTCGTTGTCCAGGTGGGCAAAGAGAGTCGCAGAGATTAAGTAATTTGGCCCAAGGTCATACGACCATGTGGTAGTAGAGACCCTGGCCATACTTTTCATTTCACTGTATTCCTTCACTCATTCAAAATGTTACTCATCCTCCTTGCTGTGGAGCGAATGACCATACAACGTCCTTAAAACGGACACTATTGTTCTAGTCCCTACAACTGTCCTCTATTTAAAATTTGTTCTCGCTATGAATATTTTTCTACTCAGGAAAAATGGGTGCATGTTATTTTAAAAATTTCAATAATTTGCCACTGAAATTTTGGCATGATAGATTCACGTTAATCGAGACAGGGCAGGCTGACTGCAGTATTCAGTTATTTCTTAATGGAGAGATGCTAACTCCCATGGAAGACAGTTCTAGGTGATATGACTATGAGTGGACACTAGGTGGCAATCTTTCCAAATGCAGATGCCATTCCACGGGTGCCCATGATTTCCAAATCAAATTCTGGACAGCTTCTAAAGGTCCCTCCATCCCCACCTCTGTTTGGTTAAATGATATTTTAGAGAAACTTCATTACAATAATTGTGGCTAATCATTTAGTCAGAGTATTTACTGTCAAACAGGTGTTATCCATTCCTTCTCTCTTAAAAAATAATAAACATAGACATGTACACAAAGACAATTCCAGACATAAAAATACACATGCCTCTAACACAACTAAACTCTCTCATTCCATGCTGGAGTCTACGAGGGGGTGGTCTTTTATGCTGCTTTCTCAGCATCAACAGCAGCATGACGCTGTCATGGGAAAATGCAAAGCACTCATGCAAGTTTATGAAGTTACTGTATTTCTGTGACTTACCAGGAACATACTGCTTAGTCGACTGAAAAATAAAGCACAGTCTTTTGGAAGTGATTCAGTTAAATCTTAGATCACTTAAAAAAAAAACACACATTTGCTCTGATCATGGTCCCCGTTTCCCTCCTTAAAGAGCAAAACTGTTCACATTTTTCAAAAGTTATCACTAAGAGCCGAAAGGAAGCTTGTGAGTCCAGCAGCAGGGGCAAGGTTAGGCAGACCTCACACAGCTGGATGCTGTCCAGTGAGAGCACTCCAACAGTCTGCTCTACTCATATCCTCTCCTTCTCGTGTTAATACAATTGTCACCTCAAGGAAGTTGGTAGTTTTACATTTTATTATATGAGAACAGATTATTTAAAATCATACCTTACTGTTAAAAGAAACCACAGTCACTCATATTTTTATTGAGTTTCTATTTTTTCTTGTTTGTTTGTTTGTTTGTTTTGGTCTTTTTGAGACAGGATCTCCCTGTAGCCCCTGCTGGCCTGGAACTCAGTATGTAGACCAGGCTGGCCTTGAACTCACAGAGTTCTGCCTGGCTCCATCTCTCGAGTGCTGGGATTAAAGGCGTATGCCACCAGTTTCTATTTTTTTCAATACTGCACAATTGTAAAACAAACATTTTACAACCTCTAAATCTACTTTTTAAAGTGGGAGTGGTAGGAGGTACACTGTTACATACAGAGCAGAGGTCGTTGAAGACAACAGGCCATTATCTACTTTTTAAAAATTTCTAGAAGCCTTTGTAAAATACAGCTATTTCATGGGTTGAATTCTGTACATCTTTTCTTTTAGAAAAAGAATGCAATAAGCATGGGGTGGGGGTTGGGGGGGCTCAGAACCTATTGGGACTATGACTCCAGCAATCAAAAGACAGGCAGGGGTAGGTTGAGGTTTCCCCTGGTCATTCCTGTCTTCCTTCTTCAACCTATGAGAAGTGACGGCTTGTTTCTTCAGAGTCTAGAAATATAAGAAAGAGCACAGGCAGTAGGAACCAAGAGGAGCCTGAGCCTGGCTAGGAGGTGCTGGAATTGTAGACCAGGCGGGGCTGGTTATAAGGGCAGGAAACCTGCCCTTAGCCAGTGGGGATGCAGGCAGAAAGATCTAGGCAAGCCTGGGCCGGGTTCCAGGGTGTTGGCTACTTCTTGCTTTGCCATGTTACCTTCCACTTTGTGACCACAGGTCACAAAGCACACAGCTCTTGCTCTGTAGAAACAATGGCATGTCAAGAAAATAGAAAAGTTCCCTCTGAGTACAATGCTTAATTGTTATCAATACCTTCTCTGGCCAACTGTTCCTCTTTCCTTCCTGCTTCCCACTCATTTGTTCATTCATTCACTGTTGTAGACATAGAGTCTACAGCAACATAGACATAGGTCTCAGCAACCCAGTTCTCTGTTCAAAATCTCAGGAGCGCCCAAACACTCCTTTCTCAGAGAAATGCTTGTCTAGGCACTGGTCCTGGGGGAGGGAAATTCTTCCAAGCAACGGGACAACCCTATGTAGTCAGACTCCAAGTGTTTTTGATCTTCTTACTTTTCCTGGACCTCCCATTATTTTAGCCACATTTAGTAAAGAATGATCTGTTTTTATTGTTAGGGAGTCACTAGCTGAGTTAATGTTCGGTAGGAAAACTGCCCACACTGCAGTGTAAACAGGAGGGAGTTGGTGGGGGTTTCTCTGAGACAAGGTGGCTAGGAGTCGCATTTACAGACACAGCAGTCTCACCATTCACTGTCCCACGCTGGGTCTCATACAATCAAAGTGTGCAATTCAGACTCTATCAGTGGCAGCTCTGATGCAAGGATATGGGCTGACCTAATGGTTGGAAGCTCTTTCCCCACATACAAGCCCTGCAGCTTTTCTGAGGTACTTGTTATCATGTCCAGTCAAATGGGAGGCAACGACTTGAAAGAAGAGGACAAGCTGTGCAGGTGGGGATAAGAGTGATAAGTGCATCTTTCACAGGGGAACTGAGTCTGGTTCAGGAAAACAAAGCTTCTCTCCAGGAGCGACCCTGAACCTCCCACTCCATCGCTCAGAGACCAGCCAGGGACTTTACTTCCCTCCATGGCAGGCCCCCTCCTCTGACTCTGACCTTCCAGTCTCAAGCTCTCTTACCTGAAGAGTTTTGACTTTGCCCAGGATGTTGTCCTGTGACATTGCTTGAACTGTCTGCTCACTTTCTGCTCCCCCATCAGGGATAAAAATACTGTCATGGGAAAACGCCCGAGCTCCCATAGAATAGTTGAAGGACCTGGAATGCAAATCATGTGCTTCATTTTATTAGGATGATAAACTGCTTTTGGCAATTCAGTTTTCTGTTCTTCCTGATTCAAAGGATTCTACCCATATTCTCCAGCTTAGTCAGAAAATCCTTCAACATTGTGGTCCCTCCTTCAAGGGATGGGGGGTTGTCAACCAATGATCAAGGTAGATAAAAGGTCCCATGGGAATGGGGAGTGTGGCTTTTGCACAACCTGGCTCAGAGCTGGTTATTTATTTACAGAGGACTGAGGGTCAATAGCACTGCTGAGCTTTTAATTGGAGGAGACCTGCCCACCTGAGCTGTCACTCTTAGTTTTGTCCCAGTAAGTCTTGCCAACTAGCATTCATTAAACACCACGCAGATCTAGAAGAGACATTCATATTCATATTCTTTCATATTACAATCAAATGGCAATGCAACACACATATACTATAAATAAAGACTTTGGAAGAACAGTAGACTTTCAGATAGGGCCTATCAATGCTAAAAATATTTTTAAAAGGGTGAGAAATCTGTGCTGGAGTCATTCTGACATGTTTTGAACACATGGAATACGATATAGGTGGTTAGTATCAAACTGCTATGGTTTAGACATGGTTGAACTCTGTGGTGATTTGAATAAGAATGTCTCCCATAGGCTCCAAGTATTTGTACATTATGTCCCCAGGTGGTGGTGCTGTTTTGGGAGGTTTTAGGAGGTATGGCTTTGCTGGAGGAAATACATCACTGGGGACAGGCTTTGAGAGTTCTTAAGCCTTGCCAGGTGTCCTGTCTCCCTTTGCTTCCTGTGCCTGCTTGAAGATATGATTGCTTGGCTTTCTGCTCTGGCCACCTCTGCAAACATGCCTCCCTGGCAATTACGGACTCCAATTTCCTTGGACTTGTGTGCTAGATAGCTTTAGTGTCAACTTGACACACCTGGGTTGAGGGAGCCTCAACCGGAGAATTGCCTCCATTGGACTGGCCCATGGCCATGTCTGTGGGGCATCTTCTTGATTACTGAGTGATATGGGAGGGCCCAGCCCACTGTGGGTGGTGCTACCCCTGGGCAGGTGGGCCTGTGTTGCATAAGAAAGCAGGATGAGCATAGGCCAAGGGAGCAAGCCAGTAAGCAGTGTTCCTCCATGGCCTTTGCTCCAACTCCTGCCTCCAGGTTCCTACCCTGAGTTCTCACCTTGGGCTCCCTGATGAACCGTGACCCAGGAGGTGTAAGATAAAATAAACCCTTTCCTCCCCAAGTTGGTATTGGTCAGAGTATTTTGTCACAGCAATGGAGAAACAAACTAGAACAACTTGTAAGCCAAATAAACTCTTCCTTCTATAAGTTGCCTTGTCATGGTGTTTTACACAGTCAACAGAAAGGTAACAAATATGGAAGTTGGTATCAGGAGTGGGGTGTTTGCTGTGAAGAACCTGACCATGTGGGGTTTTGGAGGAATGCTGAAGACTGAAAGTTTGGACTACAAAAGCTGTTGAATGCTATAAGCAGAGCTTAACAGGCTGTTCTCATAGGAGCTTAGAAGAAAGTAGTGCTGAGAGAAAGGTAGTTCCAGAGGGAAATAAGGACTTAAGCAGCAACTGGGATGTTTTGGCAAAGAATCTGACTGCTGTTTACCCACAGCCTAAGAACATGGCTCAGGCTAAGTTGAAAAGTAAGGGACTAATTTCTTTGGTGGAAAAAATTTCAACTAATACAAGCTCCAAGGACCCAAGAGTTGGAAGTTTGGTCCCCAGTGTGGTGATGTTAAGTGATTAAACCTTTAAGAGGTGGGGGGAGGGCATGGAGCACAGGCCACTAAAGGTGCTGCCCTCAGAAGGAACTGATGCAGTTTTCATAAGATCCTGGTTAGGTCTCTAGAGTGGCTGGTTATAAAAGAACAAGCCTAGTCCCTCCCACACCTTTGCTCACCCTCCTCTCCTGCCCCCACTCTTGAGCTGAGCTTCCCCTCTTGCATATATATGTCCTACTTGATGTCATCCACCATGACATAAGGGGACCTTGACCAGAGGTGGCACTATGCTGTTTGGATGTTCAGTTTTCCAAACTAAGCCAAACAAATTTTTCTTTATATCTTATCCAGCCTTAAGGAACTTGGGTATTTTGTTATAGTAATGGAGAATGGGACTGGGAGTGTAGCTCAGTGGTAAGAGGGCTGAGTATGCACAAAGTCTTGGGTTTAATCTTAGGCAACACAAGACAAAAAGAACAAGAAAATGGAATAATACACCAGTAATAGGCTCTTTCCCGTTTTAAGATTATACCTCAAAGATGTATGGACTTCTACCTGAGGTGAGGCATAAACAGTGAGCTGCAGAAGCAAACTGTTCCTTACTTGATCCTGGAAACTGACATCTCTGGGCAAGAATATCCACTGTGGCTGCCAGCTCCTCATACGGCAGACGCACCAGCTCACCCTTCCTATGGCAAAGCAGCACATTTCCGAGGTGCCAGTGACACAGGCAGCTCGCAGGACTGAGAAAGCACCACCTACCCCTTTGCCCTGTAGAGAGGGGCTGCAACTGCAGGTTCCCCAGAGACCAAGTGCAGGAGGGCACAGGCTGCACTGGGGCAAAGGTGCTTCCTGAAGGTGCCTTCACACTGCACTGCCACTGGACTGTTATCTACCCAGGTCTACATGGGGCTGGGAAGACTTCAATGATAGCATTTAATTTACTAAATTTCAGGAAGCATCCTAAAGAGCCTTTGAGGTATAGGAGTGAAAGACTTGGATGAGCCTGTGTGACCCTAGGTGAGAAGAAGCTACTGTGCAATCCTCTAGAGCAATAAAAACTCAGCAATGGGTGTTACTTTCAATGTCTCATTTAGTCCTTGGCTCTGTCATCTTATTAGAGATGATGCTCAGGGAGTAATAATCATGTCTAAAGTCATCCAGGTCAAAGTAGCAGAGTAAGGGGCTGAATGTCACCCATGCTGGCCAGTTGTCATGTCTTAAAGTATACAAAGTCTTAGAGTATGGTCACCCAGGAGGGAAAGAGGGTAGAGGAGAGGAAGGAAGGGGGCAGATGCCACGCAGGCTGTGGTATGGGAGAGCACAAGACACTAAATAACTAGAATAATGGTTCTGCCTTCAGCTGAATAACAGACCTTCACAGGCAGTGGCATGCTCTCTGAGCTACGAGGCACTGTTTTAGGAAGTTTGAAGGGAAATGAAATCTTTCAACAACCCCTTGTCCCCAGAAATGGTGATGTGATCCACTTAGGTTACAAAATGAACTTTGTAACATCATGTTAGGTTTACCTAACAACATCATGAAACAAAATTTTCTGTCAACGAGATAAAATGTTTTCATATTTTCTGTCTCTAACTCAGATTCCTGGCTATAATTCGGATGAGAAAAGAGGTAATTTACTTTATTCATTTCCAAAAAATTTAAATTTATTTTAGTTAATTATTTTTTTTGTATGTACATGCATATTTGTATGTGCAGGTAGAGACCAGAGGTCAACCTTGGTTTTTGTCCTTCAGGAGTCATCCACCTTGTTTATTGGGACAGAGTCTCTCACTGGGACCCAGGGCTTGCTGATTAGGTTAGACTGGCTGGCCAGCAAACCCCAAGGATCCTCCTGTCTCTGCCTCCTCAGCACTGGGATTATAAGCTCACTACCACACCTGGCTTTTCATGTGGGTGCTGAGGATCAAACTGAGGTCCCCATGTTAGCACAGCAAATGCTTTACTGACCAAACCATCTCTGTAGCCCCTCTACACAGAGCTTTTGCAAATGATTTACATATACACAGGCTCTCAAATATTCATATAACCCATATCTGCTCATGCACTATTCCCTACTGGATGTTTATTAAATGTTTTCTAATTTCTCACAGTTGTGTGTGCAGAACACAATGATGCCAGGCTGAGTCCCTAAGCTGCCATGTGTCCATCTAAGTCTAAAGGTCTTAGCGAATGTGCTCCCATTATTTTTTTTATGTGGGCTAAGAATTAGCATTCTCTTGTTCTACTGTGTTGCCTCCAGGATTTGATGTCCAACCATCCTTGCTTCTAGATTATTATATTGAAACATAGGGACAAAGAATAGAAACAGTAGTTGTGAGGCTAGAGAGATAGTTCAGCAGTTAAGAGCACTGGCTGCTCTTGCAGAGGAATGGGGTTTGGGTCTCAACACCCAGATGGTGGCTAACAATGGCCTGTTAACTCCAGTTCCAGGGGATTCAATGCCTTCTTCTGACCTCCGCAAGCAATGCACAACACAGGTGCACTTATATGTAGGCAAAACAATCATACACATAAAATAATAAGAAATAAAATTTAAAAAGAAATACTAATAATTGAATAATAATAACAATTATAGTAAGAGGTACTCACAGTGCTAACAGTAATTCTAGCTAAACATGACGAGACATCCCTTGTACATATGTTAACGTCTTTTCTATAACACAAAATCATCTTGATACATACGATTTAAAACTTAGGTGGTAGGCACTATTATTAAGCCTACTTTACAAATGAGAAATGAAGGCTTGAAAACAGTAACTTGTCATAAATAAAGGGACTGTCAGTGTGAATCTGATCTTGACTTCTGTTCCTTTGGTCTACTTGTCTGTGTTTACAGATAGAAATAAGTCCATACTGGCTGGGTATGGTGGCACATGACAGTAATCCCAGCACTCCAGAGGTATAGGTAGGAGGACTGTCACAAATTCAAGGCCGGTCAGGACTACATATTTCTCTCTCTCTTTCCCCCTCTTCTCCCCCCTTACCCCACATTACTTCCATGCTCTTAGGATTACTTACCTGATGGCATTAAATCTACAGACAAATTTGGGGCTGATAGCTTTACAATATTGAATCTTTTAATCCACAAACATGGAACATCTCTATGTATTAATATTACCTTTTATTTCTCTCAATAATATTTTAATAATTTTCTATATGAGGTCTTGAACATATTTTGATAGATTTATTCCTATATACTTGGTTGGTTTAAGTTTTGCAAATAGTATAATTAT